ATAAAAGGACTGCAATGAACACAACTTAAAGCCTTGTTTCCCTCTTTTAGAAAATGCCTATGAGATCAAGGTTTAAATTGAGTGTCCCACAGACACCACATTTAGACACATGCAACATTTCTTTACCCTTACAGATTTCACCCTAACATTCTCCAAAACCTCTACGTACTACTGACAGTCCTGTTGATCCCAGACCTTTCCTACCAATCACCAAGATTAAAATCTCTGGTGTCCACCACTTAGCTGGAATACCACACAATCAGGGTTGCAAGAGGTAGTGGCTTTTACAGTATTCTTTTCCAACCTGCAAAGGCTGTAGCAAAAGAAGAACAAGTTATGGCTGCATTGCTATAGGTGCTTAATGGAATAGGGTCTTGTACCTGAGGATGAGATAATGTGATGTTTCCTAAAAGACACTCACCTTCCACATCTGCTGCCTCTGTCATCCTTAATTTAGCCACTGCAAAACCAGCTCACTCTTACAGATCTGGAGGCTCACGCAAGCAGTTCAGCAGTGCTTCAAGAGCCGCTACCACCTGTCTCAAGGAGCTGAACTCCAACATGGACACACTGATGCGGAGGAAACCTGGAGAAGGAGCCATAAACTAAGAGAGAAAGAAGGAGAAATGAATGAGAACAGAGAAAAGACAAAGGACAGTAATAGAACAGAAAAATAGCTATGGCTTAGCAGCAGCAACATCAAGGAATATTAGCAAGCAGTGCCCACTGTTGATCAGCTACATGGGTGCACTTCAGTTCATGAAAACTGAAAAGAGTTTTGACAGATATATGCATCTAGATTTTGAGAGCAGCTGAAACCATAAGGAAACCAGGCTTCAGAAAGAAAAATCAGTATAGATAGTGAGGGTCGTAGGATCTTCTGTATTTAAAAGACAGCTATAGTAGCAAAGCTAGGAACAAATTAAATCCTATTCTGTGTCCTTCACTATAAGCAAGGTAAAGGGGAGAAAAACAAAAGCATGCACCTCTAAGATTTGTTATTGCAAGCCTGAAGAACAGGGCAATATAAAGTGTTTCAGAGGAAAAATGGAAAGACCACGTATAAAAATACAAATGGAAAATCTTACAGTCAACCTGTTATGTAAATTTATCTTTGTTTTGAGCTGGATAAATGGTAAGAGATACCTCAGCCTCTGCTGTCTCTCAGAAAGCATGATTCTTAGCACACCAGGGCCTTTGTAAACAAAATTGACAGGACTTACTTAGCAATTCAGTTATAACAGCTAGACGTAAGGCAACCCATGTTATCTTTGTGACAAAAAGCAATTTAGGAATGAATGTACCAAATATTCTGCAGACAAGCCAGTCAATCCCACCCAAATTAGTGTAACACATCTAGAGTAAGTCAAAGAATATGATTCAACTCCTCTGTGTGGGCACAAATTACAAAGCAAAACTGGTAAGAGACCCTGAGTACACAAGTGAGTTGGAGGGCAATTAGTTACAGCAACTCTGAGCTGACTGTACATTGCAGGGGGGCAAGACTCATGCTATAGAAGCGGAAAGCAAAGTTTGTAATGACCCCATATATTTCACTTTATTATTTGATAAAATATTTATGTTTAATTTTATGAAAAATAAATTGTATAGATTTTATTACTGATATGATTTTCATACTTTCTTCCATTGCCTAAGTGATAAACCCAATAACGCCATCTTTGAATCTGTTCAACTATTAGCTTTTACATATTAATAGAGTTTAGTAGACCACATATAGCTACCTAGAGACCATGCCCTTACTTCCTCCAAAGGGGCAAAAAGCTTTGCAGGATCATTTGGTAGCAGTCACTTAAGAGATAGTTGAGAATGCTTGCCTTACACCCATGAGAGAGCAGAAGCAGCCTTCAAAGGCCATGTTGCAACCCACTGAAAGATGGTTAGTTGATGTCAAACTTGGTTTTTAAATGTTAAGCTGGCAGAAATTCATCATTTTCTGTACAGTTTGATCATGGTATTTCATTGTTAGCCAGGTGATTCAGAACTGAGGACTTCATCTACAAAGGCAAAAAGCCTTAGAGAGCTTTCCTTCTGAAGTACGTAGCAGTAACTCTGATCAACATAAAAATCTGTCCCTTTCCTGAATCTAGCGTATTCTAAACCTCTCCAATGAGTAAACTCAACAACACACCAAAACTCTCATTGCTAAGACCTCCCACACAACTTATCTGAAACTTAAATGAAGTTTGCGACGTAAGGAATGTGAGAAGCGATCAACTATGCATTCTCATTTAGAAAACCAATACATGCATTTTAGTGCTTTTACTATAAGGACACCATTTGCAGTTCTCAAACATTTTCAAACTTAACTAATCTAGAGTTCATAAGCCTGATTTAAAACATTCTATAAGATGGTCTATGCAGATGTCTAAACAGGCTTTTCTGACTACAGACCAGTAACAGCTTGATCATTTCCAGTCAGTTTTTGTTGGAAGTAGAGAACAGGGTATTTTGCCTTGGGAAAAGTGAGAAGTTTAAGCTGATCAAATGAGATGTCTTGTTAAAAAAAAAAAAGTTACAGTATTATATACCGCATAAGCTACTCAGCTGCCCTTCAGAGGTGGAAAGAGTTTGTAAACCCCTTTCAGAGTCCTCCTATTGCTCCTGAATACCCTAGGGAGCAGTGAGCTACACCGCATGTTAACAGGCCAATGTTCTGGCATTCCAAGTGTTACAAAGCCAGCCAGTGCTGTATTTGAGCCTGTGAAGGCTGTGAGTAACCGTGACGAGTAAGGAAACCTCCCAGCTTGTCCCTATCCTTTCTCTGTGAGAAGGTATCACAAGACAAGCGTAACCACCTCCTGTGTTCTCTGTATATATCATACTGTAGACACTGCTCGTCCCATCCAGCATAAATTAGTATTTCTCTAATACCTCTGACAGGTCCAAGGGATCTCAGGGAAGGGGTCAATCCTCTGATACTCTACATTGTAAGAACAAACCTCTGCAGACCTCTGAAAGGCAACCAGATGAACCAGAAAGGTCTATACAAGCTGGCAAGCAGGACGTAGGATAGAGTGATACATCCCTAGTTGGGACCATGCAGCAGTTGTTTGTTTCTCAGCTTGCTGGTTCATCATGGGCCTTTAATGCAAGTGCTGCGGCTCATTCAGCACCAATACAACACATCACATCTGACAAGTTCTCCCTCCAACCTAAAATTTGGACATGGGCCATGGAAAGGAGGAGCCAGAGCATACAGTGGGGGCTGTTCATTCACAGAATGGAAGAAAAGATGGATCATCCAAATAGACTAAGTGAATATCAAGAAATATTTTATTGTACATGTAATCAAAGTTTAAAAAACAGACAAGAAGGAGCAAGGGACAGATTTATCTAGCATCTCTTAACTATGCAGGGTACAGAAATACAACTAGTAAAGAATTAGCACATATTAGTACCCTTTGCTCCCCTTCCCTGCCCCAATGAAGGAGGTTATACAAGTGAGATTAGTAATGCTTCAAATCAAGCCTTCTCACACTTGAGCTGACATAGTCAAAGTATGTTCGGTTTCACGAGAGAGCATGTGCCTTCAAAATAGTTGTTTATAAACAAAACACTATCTCTTTAGTGGTTTGTAAGCATTACTCATTCAACACCAAGAGTATACTTAAATGACTAATGAATTAGCAGCCATAATTGTCGTTATATCTGAACTGACACTATCTTTAAGTATATCAGTTATAGAAAATAGATTCCTTAGGTTTGACAATATGTAGTAGAGAATATATTATCTAGTGGCAAAACCGTAATGTAAGGTAAGTGGCTGTCAAGAAGCAGAGGAAGTATTCGCAGGGAAGGGGCGGGAACTGCATGCTGAGCAGGGGGCACGTTGAATAATCAGAACTAAAAAAACTGAAGCTCAGGAGTGCTAGCTGCAAAGGAGTTACACCTCAGTATCATTGGTGTAAGTTTCAGTACATCTTGTTTGAAAAATATGCTATTCATCCCACATCTACAATCTCCCAGCTTAACTCATGACCCTAGATCCTCCTTACGGCGGCACTGTAGGGTCTTAAACAGCTCTAGCAATGTAACTCATGTTCTGCCTTACACGCTGCAGGGAAGACGACTTCCATTCTCTTCCAGAGCCAGATAAGAAGTCTGAAAGTAAATGCGGGGCATTGTCAGGGCTTATTCAGCCCTTCAGCCACTCAGTTTCCTTCCTAAATTTACAACAGTGAAGGTCTTCAGAGCAGAAAGCTACAACTTTTTTCCAGTACAAGCTGATTTTCTCTCAATAGCTTAGAAATAAGCCTTCACACAAAATGTAAGCTATACAGCATGTAGCAAGGGATGAATCAAATCAGTGTGACAAGTGCTAAATCCCCAATTGAAGGCAAGACAAGTTTTGGGATTCCCACAAACGAGGGATTTGTTTATTTTTCAGTGGCCCAATAAGTCTAGCAAATTAAAAGACTCTTCGCAAAACTTCCAGAGAAGGCCCATGGAAAAGCAGACAAAGCCAGATCCAAAATAAGTAACAAATGTATTCTGGATTCTGATGCCCTTTGGAGACTGCCAGGTTTTTTTGCGTAAAATGCAATAATGATGTATTAACGATGCCATGATCTTCATCTATTTCAGCCTACAGCATGGTCCAATGCAGATTATTAGTGTCAAGTTACACACCTAGGACTTGAATCCACTAACACTCATAGCACCATTTGATTGTTGCTGTAAATAAAGACAGTCTAACCCTTAAGTCCTCTGCCAGAAAGAGCCTATTACCTTCGAGAGTTGTGCACCACCACCTATTCCAGGCCAGCTGACCTACCCACATTTTTTGTCCTCACACATATACATCTGTTTTCAGAAAAATCTAAATAGATCCATGATTAAACTTTGTGACATATTACCTTAGCTTTCAAAATTTCAAAATAAGTTCTCCTTACAGTGTTCAAATGTAGGAGATTCACACAACTGACAGAGTTATTTCCTGTGCGTGCCAACTGCAGTCATAAAAGCCTCCTGGCTCTTCTTCATACTTCTCAGCTTTGAAACACAGAAGGATCAATATAGATATCTCAGGATTAACAGACCTAGGTGCAGGGAAAAAAAGCAGCTGTTCTGCACCTCAGTAACTATTGCTCAGTATTTATCCATTTTAAGCAACACCAAGGCAGTATTTGAATTTATGCTGCACTTTAGCAGAAACGGGTTCCCTACCATTAAAGAAACATCACCCTTTCCACAGGAAAAAGTCTCTAAAATTTAGCTGGCCATTTTTTCTTAGCCATTACATTTAACAAGGCAGATTTGCTTAGCTTCCCAGTCTAACAGCATTATAGAGTTGTCAAAATATATGGCTCATACCTACGGCCTGTCTTTAAAGTAGAGTAGCTGGGCTGCACATTTTTTTATAAGAACTACAGAAGTTTATTAGCTATGCTAAAACACTACTTAAAGAGCCTAGAATTGTTCAAAGACTCACCAGCTACCTAAACAGAACAGTTGTCCCACAAAAGTGATTTCACTAATAACTGAACTTGAAGACAAACACTACCAGAAAGCCAATAAAGGAAATCTTGTGTGACCAAAGGTTCTCTTACTATCTCATCTGAAAGAAGCTACCTGCCACTTTGAAGTATCTCCTCCTTCCATAGGAATAACCAACATACCTTTTGGAGGCAGTTTAGACAGTGACTGCTCAAAAGTATTTCTACAGAACTGCTTTTTGGAAGAGAGAATAAGATAATTTACTATTTGCACAAATTGAATTTACTACACTCATTTTACTCTGATAATGTTTTAGCTACAAGGTACCTGTACAAGATATATCAGCAGAGATAGCACATTGTTAACACTACATATGTAAACCAACAAACAACAGGTCCTTTCATCAAGGTGTCATATTGCAGGTAAGCCATTTTACGTTAGTCCAAGAGGCTGCGAAACTGCACTTCTGCACCAAGGAGGTTCCTGGTGAGCCCAACAGAAAAGCCGTGCTCTACAAAGGTGACTGTCCATCCTGGAACAGCAGCAGGAGAAGAATCAAGCAACCAGTGTTTGCGGTAATATTCTTAAGAAGGATTCCATTCATTCGGTGCATATTGCTGTACATAAGGTGCATAAACCTGTCAGGTATGAGATCAGCGTGAAGAGAAGCCAGTTGCAAGGCTACAACCAACTACTGGTGTCATGTCCCAGATCTGGAAGAAAATATTGTGGAGAATTACATAGCATTATTGTAAGATCTAAGAGGTATTTCTGTAAGAGGCATAGAAGCAAACATAAAGACCTCTCTGGACACAAGGTAACAAATCCTGTTTAAACAATACTTGAGGAAAATGTCATGAAGAGTTATATACCAGCCTTACAAACCAAAAGGCAAACTTAGGGTTCAAAAGAGTCTTCTAGCAGGTCTCTGTAGGTCTGTTTTAGAAAGTGCTATGCAGTTTGTAATAAACATGCTTACAGAAAAAACAGGGACAGACTGGAACAGTCTCAGTTCTGACATGCATGAGGATGTACAGCTTAAGCACGGCAAGATTCTAACAGTCTGATTTCCATGTCACTGTCTCATAACCAGGGCTTTTAGTGGGAACACTCCAAGCAGCCAGGGAGCTCAGAGTAAAGGAAGCCTGCACATTCCATCGTGTCTGTGTCTTTTAAGGCTGCTGGCAGATTCTCCTACTGCTGATGCCTGCTTTGTTTGTCCAGAGGACACCAACAGTTACCAGTTCTGATGGCTAGACTCCATACATTGGAGTTACAGGTCATTTCCTCATTCAGCTGCAGGAAGAACAGTCTGCAACTAATACAATTCTTGGCTGCCCACAACAGTTAGCTTTGTAGCAACAGTTGTCAGAAAGAAAGAAGTATATACAAACATTAGTTCTCTATTAAGTATCTGTAATAAATGCAGGAAAGAGGTGCATGAGTACCTTCACAATCCGGTCGCTCCCACAAGTCACCATTAGTCCTCTGGAGATGTCCATGGACATGTGTGAAATGTTGTGTTTTCCTTCATGAAAGGTTGCCAAGGAAGTACGGCTGCAAGAGAACAATTCAAATGAAAGCCAGCCATCAGATGAAGCTGATGGCATCATTATAGCAGTATAAAATAAACTTACGAGAAAATTAAGTTGCTCAGGTAATAAATCAGTCCTGAGAACTGCAGTGCCATATTAAAGGGGACAGAATTAAATCAGCAAGTCATGCTAAGGCACTGCTTGTGTAGTTATACAGGTGTGACATTTCCTGGCCTTCTGCAGTCTGACTGTTAATAATACTAGAGCAGAAGCGGGACATCGCATTAGTAAATAATTCTATTCTTGGTTATAAAGTCAAGCTCAGCTACATTTTTTCCTGCTGGCTATAGTGAGTCAACTAGGGCACAGCACCTCCCTTCTTTTTAAAAAAAAAAAAACAACCAACCAAAACCAAAACAAGAAAACCCCAAAAAACCCAACAACAAATGCCCCAAATAAAAAAAATACTCCCCCAACCAAAAAAAACAAACAACAACAAAACAAAAAAAACCCCAAACATCCCCCAAATTGGCATCTGATTACTTTGGTCCTTTAGCACTCCAGGTGTCCAGGGAGGTTACAGGACAGTGAACAGTGAAGTGCTTTTCACATCAAGATAAACAGGGGGTTCCTTCATTGCTAAGGAGAGCTTAATGAGACAGCAAGCAATGTTTAACCCAATTTGCATGCATGGGGAAAATAATACTGGGCTGTAAAGAACATCCCCATAGAAACAGTTTTCAGTAAGTGTACATGAACTAATGCGTATACATGCTGGCAGCTGTGATGCTTTGTCAGCCACCCATTTAGCAATTTTAAGTGCAATCAATAGCCTTTACCTGAACAGAAACCTTGAGACAGGTATGTTTCAACTCTAGATCTGGGCTCATGGAGAAAAAGAAATAAAGTGGATAAAGTTGTAATACCACATCTGATCCAAATCAGCTGGCAGAGCCAGCTGAAGGATCTCTGCTATTGTGGTGCTTTGAGAGCCCAAGGCAAGAGTGGCCTATTAGCAGAGTGTCAGCTTGGGATGTTTGTATGGCATTGAGTGTAGAATGTGGAGCAGTCACAAGTGTTTCTGCACATCAGCAGTATTTAATTTATTACTCCTTAATACTCACTCTTCATCCTTGATTGACTCAAAGCAGGAATCACAGACACGGACCTGGAACTCAAATCCCATGATTGGGTAACTTGACCGTTTGGTACTGCACTTGCCACACACTGCTTGTCCACATTTTCTGCAATGATGCTTCATGGAGGAAGAGGAAACAACAAACAAAAAGTCACTATATTGTGCCACTTGACCATCTTACCAAGCATTCATTGAACAACAAACACAGCTTCTATTTTGCAACCTGTTAGGAAGTGTTCTGTTACTTCAAGCAAAGACCAAGGATTCTGGAGTTCTGAATAGTTGTCTTGGCCATTAATGGGTTTACCCCCATATTTTCCCTGTGTATCCCCTTCTCCTTTTGCAAGCTCCTTCTGGGAGCAGGGGAAAAAGAGGGTTGAACAAGCAACCAAGGAAATAACAGTCTAAGAAAGCCAGGAACAGGGGAGAGTCTTGGTGCCTGTCCAGTTCCTCCAAAAAGAAAGCTATCTGGAAAACTTTCACTCAGTAAGAGCAGGGCCATCACTGCTTCACTGAACTGAGTGCCCTACAACATGTTAGGCTGCAGTTTGCTCAGTTATGGTGCATTGTGTGCCACCTTACACAACACTTGAGGATTAGCTGTCCACAACTCCAATGCATAGAAATATTCAGAGAAATCCAGTCAGACATCCCAGCACAGCCTGCTTTGCCCTGTGATAGAAGTTTGATGCAACGCTTCCCATGGAATTTGGAAATATCTTAGCACTGCCTAGAAGCTGTGACCTCTCAATAAACTCTCACTTCAAAGCAGCAAAAATACCAATAGTCTAAAAGATCTAACAGCTTTAGTGGTTTTCTGTTTGCATGTTGCTTAAGTGCTAAAGTACAGCTAAGCACTTGAGCCAGTAATCTCACCTGTCTCAAACCTAACGTCTTTGTGTCCCACATTTGCTTTATATTCCAGAAGAAAGGTTGTTCACACTTCTGACAGGAATCACTTTCTAGCCACTGAGGGGCCTACAAAAGAGTAAGAAATGCAAGCAATCAGAATTATTCTTCCTCATACAACAGAAAAAGACATTTGTTTTAAGAACCCAAAGTAAAGTTTTACTTGGAAAGATGCCCTGTCTCAGCTCTAGACATTACAACAATAGATTGTCTGCGGTATAGTACATAGGAGGTTTAGTACGAAAAGCCCAAGACTACAGTTATTTGTTACTTACACATCTCCTATACTTCTTAAGCCCACAGCAGTATGTGATGTTATTGCCTTAGTAAGAAAACTAATTCAAACATCTAAGTTTTGAGTGCCTGCAGCAAGTTTAATAACTGCTGTTCTGGTTACCTAGATGATTTTTAAGAGTTAGTGTGATCCAAGTTGTAGAAGCTATGAGGCACCCCACTAAGAGAGGTGGGGTCCAGAAGTAAATTCTGGAAGTAAATATCTTTTCTACTTCCCTAGGATTGCAGTTTGAAATAATTAAGAACTCATCTGTGTTTTTCATCCTGCCCACATCTTCATTAAGCATCTCTTCTCCCACCCACATATTTTTCCTGCCATAAACGGACTAAGCCAAATGAAAATAGAGCTTTCATAAATTTCTATGCTCTCAGATACTTTAACTCAGCATAATTGTAAGGGATAGAAAGAGAGCCACAATATTTTTAGTAAATAGACTTGAATTAGAACATGTATATTCTATACAACTTTACACATCTGATGGGGGAGTCTCCCTGAAATCCGACAGGAGGAAAGCTGGAACAAAGAAGCTTTTCTCCTCAATTCACTTGCATCCATTGTTGATAGCAATAAAACAATAGTATCATCAGTTGCACCAACATCTCACCACAAATATTTATTAATACCAGATGTCCGGTTCCTACATCTTCAACCTTGATTGCATCCCCATCCTTCCCCCATGCTAGTGGAAAATATTGTAAAGGGTAGTTACCAGAGGAAATGAGTCACCTCTCCACCAAGTGAGATGTTCCACATTGCTTCTTTCAGTTACTTACAATAGTAGTTTTCACTTAATAGCATTTTTGAGAAGACAATCTACTTTCTGGCTCCCTCTTACAGAAAAACAGGATACCTTCCTATTCTTTTTATCTTAATTTCAGGCATTAAGTAGGAGGTAAAAACCTGCCAACACTACCAACACTATTACCAACATACAGTTGGAAGTGCCCAAGATCAATAGTACAGCTCTCAGTGGAGTTACCATGCCTTTTAATAAAAAAGTCTGTCTTGTAGTCTTATGTGCATTAATGCAAATTTAAAGATACCCTATAACATGACTGGCTAGCTAATGCTTCAGAGGCAGTATGTTCATCATTCTTCAAACGTTTCGTTTCTTTGCTTTTGGACTGGGCTTGATTATGTTTTTCCGATGAGTTCTGAGACAGCATGGCTGTTCTAAGTTAACCATATTATTTTAATTGTATTAAAACTGTCTATAATTTAGAAGATCCCTTAATTACTGTGTGCAGATCCAGAAGAGAAATAGCCACATCTTGTTTTCCCAATTGTATTATAAGTCAATTCCTTGCAACTACAAAGGTTCATAATATCACATAAGTTTTGAAGAGAGATCATCATGCTGAAAATGTTAGGACTGTCACATACAGCATTCAGTGTGTTTACAGTGACAGCTCAACACGTGTCACAAAAGAGTTCTTAATCATGACACTTGCGTTTAAGGAAAAGCAACAGGGCAAAGGCGGCAGCGCCTATTGCTTTATGGGGGCAACCAAAACTAACTCCTATAATGATGGTTTAACCAAAGATAGTAGTAATATACATCTTTTCAGCTCTTATGATGGATATGAACTGATGCAGAAAGAATGTGCCTGGCAGGCTCAGTTGCTGTGTACTGAGGTCTTTAAAAAAAAATGTTGTCTGGGGACTGAATCTCTACATTCTGAACGGCATCTCAAAAACAGCATCTCACTTCTTTACCTGCTTTGACATGAGTTGAGAACTTATTTCAAGCCTGCTGAAGCACAACCCATTGGTTTCTTTACTGCAAAGGCTTGCCTGCTTTAGAGTGTTCCAGCAGCAAGGGCTGTAGCCATTCCAGTGAACATGTCTCATTGAGTTAAGACTCTAAGCAGTCCCAAACCTGTCCTGCACTTCTCCTGTCCTGGGAATCCATCTATTACAATGCAGCATGGACAGCCACCAGAACAGAGCAGGTTTTAGTAATGTCATTCAGTCTTAAAGTTTCAGGCAATGTGAGGAAAACAGCCTGCAGAACTGACTAAGCAAAGTGACATCAGCCTCTGGAAAGGAAGGAAAAAAAAATATCTTTGACCTAGGACATGATCTTACCTCTTCTCGGCTGATATCCATATTCCAAACAGCAATTCCTCCATCAGCTGAACAAGATACCAGCTGCCGTGTCAGTTGGATGTAACAGATAGCCTGCACCTTGTCACTGCAAACAAAGTAGACATGATTTACCCATAGATAGGTATTTAAACAAAGCTTAGTTTCCCAGCAAACCCCGATTTATCCTTGTAAAGCTACCTAGGAAGCCCAAACTGATTTCCAGACACTTTGCTAAGTTTACTAAGTAGAGGTACGACGATGAGTGAACAGATGCTGTCACCTAAGCACTACTCTAGCATCAAGATGTTGCCTAGAACAGTGTTCTTACAGGCTTGACTAGAATACCAGAGGTACAGTTCCATTTTAACATTTGCTGGCAGTAAGCACTGACAGTGAACTGTCAACTGGCTCAGAGTGTGCGTGCAAATACTCTTCTGCGTTGGCAAGGAGAGCCAGTTATCAAAACAGAGACAACTGAAAAAATAAAGGGAAATACTTGTTTCAAGATACAACTAGGAAGCAGACGGAGCTTCCACTTTTGCTAATGAATCACAGTACGTAAGCCTGTAGCTGCAAAGCAAAGCATGCATTCACCAATAAGACAGTTTAATCCTAAGTCAAGAGTCATAGCAAAATAATACTCAACCCTCAGAAAGTAAACAAAGGATCTCAACACTACTAGACTGCTTTGAAACATCTAAGTTGAATTAAAAGAGCCATTCTGCTTCTCAGAAGAACTTACTTTCTCATTCAGTACGAAGTTTGATGCTAAGTGTGATGTTTGAAGAGAAACTAACAGTGTTATAAGTCTTCACCAGGACACACGATGCAGCAGCAACAGCAGTATAAAGTCCTCCAGTCACTGACTTCAGTTACTTTTTTGTAACCAGTATGCTATTATTAGTTCTTTAGCCATAAAACTAAATCCTCAAGATTTAACAAAAGTTCTAGGGCTAAGGCTATCAGTCTTGATCAAAGGTAGATGGCGGCATGTATGGAATTAGACAAGAGGAGAGTGCACTATACAAATACATCTTTAATCATAAACAAGATCTCTACTGCCACTGCATTTCTAAGTAGAATGTATCTTCAGTGGTGAACTGTCTGTCAGACTGAATTAAGACCCTAGATTTAAAAAAGGCAGCTAGTGTTGCCTCTCTGTAAAAATGAAGAGTTGATTAAATACAGACAACTAACTACGTAATCCACAGAACAGCGGAGATGTGACATGCTTTTCTGAACTCTAGAGACCCACTCCTGTAATTTATCAGTTTATCACCTCACTGATAGGAGACAGAGAACAGGAACATATAGAAGCTTATTCTACATGGGTACACGAACATCCTTATATATTAAGTTTCTAGCCCCACAGGCAACTCAGACAAGTATTTACAATACAGAAGCATGCAACTTTTACATAAGTCCAAGCAAAATTATTTAGGATTTTTACCAACTTCTTTCCATAAACTACTTCTATGTTATATTCTCATTACCCATGGCTTAGAAATATCAAACATGAGCAAAAAAAATAATAAAAAAAATTATCAGTAATGCTTTCATAGTAGTGATTATCCTTCTTCCCCCACAAAGTCTTCAGAGTTCTGCAAAAAGTTATTTTCTCCATTATTGACAAAGATTCTAATATCTTGCCAGGCTACTTATTCTCTTTGGGACTCCGTGTTCATTACAGAACATGTAGGAAAAATAAGACACCATTACATACTGATGTCCCTGGAGCAGTAGTGTTCGCCCCTTCCTTCCACCAATATCCCACATGATAATGCTGTGATCAGAGGCACCTGAGAAGAGCAGTCGTTGAACAGGATCCCACCACAGGGAAGTAATACTCCCTAGGAAAGAACATTTCGCAGTTAGAGCTAAAGGAGTCAGTCACCAACACGATGCTCTTCTGGGTCATTAAAGTGAGACCTGAGGTACTCCCTTACTACAGTAACATACTGAAAGCCTTAACGCAAAGGACAGCATGCAACAGCAAGATACCGTCCTGCTAGAGAGGCAAAGAGCATTTGACAACAGAACAAAACAGCCCTAAGATGAAAGTGAGATGCAAAGCATAAGGCAGAAAGTTCGAGTTACCAGCTTTCTGCCCCCTGTATTTAGGTAGTTGTTAAGAGTTGGCAGGCTGCTCCATCTTTGGAAGCTGAAAAGTACTAAAACTTGCCAAGCAAAGACTAGATCTACAATATAGTAAGGTGCTTGGTCAGTCGTTGCAGGACAGCACGCCCTGTTCACAGGTTAACCAACTTCCTTACATAACCATTTACAACCTTAAAATACTTAGAATAAGAAACTAAGTGACAGTTTCACTGCTGTTAGCAAATCTGGCCACCTCACACTAAATTACAAAACTAGACTTCAGAAGGCCCACCTTGGCTGTGCACCTCATTAGTCAGACGTAGAAAGAAATGAGTCATATGACAGTAGCAGTCTTATACTACACCCACATGCATAGTATTGTAGACAGGATACTAAAGAAGTAATTTTGTCACTCATGCCGCCTATAGTTTCAAAGTTGCAGGAACATTTTATTCCCTTACAGACATCCTTCCCTTTCAAGCATCCTTCCATTGCTCAGTTGTCATCATAAGCCTTGTTAGTCTGAAAGTGAGATGAATGGTAATTACAGCCCAAATCAGTCCTTTCCAGCTCTCTGGAGCAAGAGATTTTTCTTGCCTCCTTTAGGGCTACACTGTTTTCAGACTGACCCATTTGGAAATAGGTGCTTCAGAGAACAGTGACCATCCGTACCATAAAAGGCAGTTTGAGTATTATCTCAGCATTGCACAGAGCAGGCTGTTAAATATGGAGAATTCTGGAAGCTGACTGTTGAACGACAAAAAACCATTTAAACTGCAAAGCAAACTGCTTGCTTATGAAGTCGGTCAGGCAAGAGCTAGAAAGGAAACAAGATGAAGTCAGACTTTTTAAGTCTGGCAAACACAGCTGCACTCAGAGAAGAACTAGATACCATTTAGGTTAGTGATACTAGGCCTTGAGAATATTATGGTAAATACTGTGGAGGAAAAAAGGTTACACATAACCTGTGTTGCTTTAAAGAAAAAAGAAAAGAAAAAAGATGACAGAGCTATTATTACACCAATTGAAGAAAAACCTGTTTCTGCCCCTCAAATTTAATGAACTTCTATACTATACACTAAATCAGTTCTTGTTTTGAGGATCACAATCCCCTTAGGGACCTTATAAGCCAAAGTTGTCTGCTGAAGTTGGTGCTTGGAAGCCCACCACAAGTCAACGGAGAGAATACATACTATATGTAGTGCCACGTCTAGACATACTGCTTTCAGACTAACAGTGTCTATCAAGGAGTTGCATTTTAACACAGTGGTGCAAAGGCATACATAGGTAAAGGAGTCTCTAGGGCCAAGAGAATTATTTTGCTCTTAACCGAAACAATCTGAAATTACGTTTGAAAGCACAAGAGGCATTTATCATTTGAAAATCTCATCTTCCTCACTCAAAGCCAGCTTTATCATTTTACAGTCATCTGTAAATCAGGAGTCTACCCAGCTTTAACAAAGTCTGCTCTATACTTAGAGCTATTTAACAAGGCAGCCTTTTCCAGTGGGTCAGAGACTTATGACCCAGTAATTCACCCCTACCCAAATGCAAACTAGTCAGCTGATTTGAAAGCTGGCAGTACCACATGGGAAGAGGCATGAAGTCTTGTTTATTTCTCTCAGGATATTATTAAATTACACATTCTTCTGTGATTTGTATTCTTGCCTTACTCATGACAGCAGACAGTGGCTCCATATCATGTTACAGACTATTTGGTTCTTCATCTGATATAAGGACTTCAGCTATACTACACATGATGAGACATTTGTCTTTGACTAGACAGTTTTGATTCTAAAAGGCTCTCTAGATTCCTTGCATATAGCTTAGTTTCAGCTAAACACAGGAAACTGAACCAGAGTCTCGTAAAGACTGATCAGAATAGCAAAGTCTGCATTAGGAAGAATTAAATGGCTTTTTAGAATCTAGATTGAGGGTTACTAAAGCTGCTTTAGGTATTATTATAGTACTACAAGGTCTCCAGGAAAAAAAAAAAAAAAAAAAAAAAGTAGCACATGCTCATCCTTTCCTTTCAATGCTAAGGAGACTAAAGTTTTTAAAGATGGCCACCTAGTGGATAACTGAATGCAAGTCTACCTTTATTTTTCATCTATAATAAAAATACCTGTCAGTATTTATAAGGCTAATATTTCCCCTCAGCAAGAATGTATCTATTCTTTAAGAGATAATCATATGCACAGCTTTGAACAGTTTTTGATTACTACCCTCCAATAGTTGTTTATCCGATATCTTTCCTCAAGAGGTAGACATCCAGCTGAATGTCTCATGCTGATTTATAAAGAGGTACCATAACCTGGGTCAAATGGAATTAATAGCCAGAGTTACTTTACCTTCATGCCCTTTGAGTGTTGTGATAACCGAGCATGTATTCTGCTCAAGCTTCAGGAGAGTGATCTGTCCAGAATAATCACCAACGAATGCATGCTGAGTTTCATAATCATATCTGAACACCAGTCAAGGAGAAGCTTCATTTGCTCTGAAGAGTATTTTACAAGACTGAAACAGATAGCACTGCTGTCAGCTACAGAGTCTAAACAAATTGGAAAAGAACATTTTAATACATCAGATAAATATTTACGTAACTACTTCTAAAGGAGCTGGAGACTGTAAAAGTTAAAACATTTTCATTCCTCACTTCTCCTCACCCTTCCCTACATGAGCAAGTAAGACAGTATGGAAAATAAGTGATAAAAGTTTTAGAAAGCCACTAGAGAAGCCATGAGATAATCCATCCCCTAGTTTAAGGCCAGCCAACCAGATTTAGACCATATCTAGCAGATATTTACAAGATTCTACAAGAGATGCCAGATTCTACAAGAGATGCCAGAACTCCTCAGGCTACTTGTGCAGTACAGAGCTACCATTAGGTGCACCTCACTGGACATTGAGTGGCATTCAGTCTTACCTACTATCTGCTCCTATAAACTCTTAGTTTTCTAGCATGTTATACCAGTTGATGCCCCCAGGATAGGTAAACTAAGATACAAGGATGCTGACCCTCCACAGCTGGTTTACCTTACAGTGGAAGTATACTCTTAATGTTCTAGCTACTGAGAAGGTGAGACCATCTAATTTCTTGTTCTGTTCTCGGCACTTTCAAGTTTACTGATGCAGGTCTTTCAGCACAGTATCAAAGACTGAACAGTATTTCAGAAGGGGTTCTATCATTTAACACTGACATAAAAGCCACAGCACATCCTAGCATGAGATCTGTTAACAAGGTGGCATGTTGGGCAAAAGCATTTTACATCATAACAGTTTTCTGATATTCATGTTTTGTCACTATGTAACTACTGTCTCCAGTAACTAAAGCACAGCAAGCTGGATGGAACCAGATCATTTGCCACCTTTAGAAGAGTTAGGCAAAGCAGCCTATTCAGCTCAACAGAAAAGACTAGCTTTAAAAAGTCAGGGTACCAAAAAGCCCACCACCGTAAGTGAAAGAGCAGAGGTTTTGCCATCTGATGACATTCTGAAATCTTTTAAGCCTTGAGATAAACAATTCACTTTCAACAAATCCACTAAGTCCCTGAACATGTGATCCTTTCTTCATCTTGGAAATTGGGGCTAGCATTATCCCCACTAATCCAGTAAAGAATAGGCAACTCTGCTGTGCTTTTCAGAAGCTTACACATAGGATCACTGACAAATAACTCCTAAGGAATCTCCTGATAGGGAGACCAAGCACCTAGTACACACACAGGAAAGCTAGTTCTTCAAAACACAAGTCCAAATGCAGGATTAATTACAACGCATTTTCAAATGCCAAGGTCTTCAGTGGAAATTTATTTTTATCTTGATAGAAAAGGTCATATCCTTTTCTCTGTTTCATAAACTGTTCCATTATTTGCTATAAAACCCATCAGCTATAGAACCCATTGCATTCATAGCGAGGCTCAGAGACACCGAACTGTTTGAAGAGCTAGTCTCCTAACACACACCTGTCTCAGTATTAACCCAGTTCTGTGCTGCATGCAGCTGAGGTGAGCTGTACATGAAAGGTTTTGTGGGACAGAAACACCCTGAACTCTAAAACAAGGACAGCAAAAAGGAGCAACAGCACAACAATACAAACCTGTCAGCTCTTCATTCAGTCTGTAAGGCAGGATTTGCAAAGATGGAAGAACTCCGAAGGCTAGATGTGCTGCTGGCAACCAAGCAGTTAGCCTTCCTCCTCATTTCTTAGCACAACACAGGTATACAGCAATTCTAGACAGGTCTTTATTTTTTCAAGAGATGTAGCTGACCTCTTTCAGCATTTGAATCATGCCACTTCTACAACATTAGTGCCATTAATCCTCATACACCAACCAATACCTCCAGTTACCATCAGACCACATCTCAACTGCCATCATTAACAAGTGCTAAAAAATAATTTTAGAACTCAAAGTATTTAACTCATGCTCAAAAGTTTTGATATATGAACTACATTTTCAGCTGCTGGGTTTGTAAGTCTTTTACATAGGATAACGAATGCCCTGAAGTACTTACAGCTGAATAGACAACCGGAGTTCTTAAGCTACAAATGCTGCAGTTAAAAGCAATTTTCAGGAAAGCAAACTGCACACAGACAAATTATTGCTAGCAATGAATGAAGTTTCAAAATACCCTGAAGCTTAAAGACAGAAAAGTTTAACATGAGCAAAGACAGAAAAATTAAAAGTAGTCCAAAGGGTTTTCATGATGTTTTATTCTCCAGATTGACTCAAACGCACACTGGCATCTGTTGAACAAAGTGCCTTGCCTGGGCAGTATACAAGCCAGGCTATACAGTTACTGGTCACTTCCACAAGATGCTACAGCTAAACATCTCAAAATTAGGAACTTGTCCACACTGCGATTTCTGTAACTCATGATTACAACATCCCCTTCTACTATCTAACAGCAGCTAACAGAAATAAAGCTATTAAACTTCTAATCAGAATAAGGGTTTGCAGACTTGCAAGAGATTTAACTCTACCTTTTTAGATGAAAAGAAGAGAACAGGTTGAGCTAAAGGAACAAAACACTCTTCCAGTTTAAGGGTAGCAATCGTTTTTCAAAGGATATTGTAGACATGAAGCCCAAGAGGTGAAGTAATGTCTCCCCAGCATACTCCCACTCCTGGTGCACATCCAGCTGACACACTTGTCATGACCAGTGCTGATAACCCACTCTGATGTCAGGCAGAAAGTAATAGCAGACACTCGATTCTGATGAGCTGTGGAAAGAAAAAGATGCTGGCTAGTTTTTCCTAAAAATCAAAGTGATGTGTTCTTATGTTCTAATTCAGAGAGACATACGCTGAAGATGATACCTAAAGCAATGCCCCAGGGAGGCATTTTAACCATCATATTATACTTGCCTATAGGCTGAATTAAAAGGTTAGCATTGTTCTGTTTGGTATTTGCGTTCTGAATAACTTAAGTGAACCAAATACGTCAGTCAGCTAATTTAAGCCTTTCTCCCACAGAGAGAGAAGCTGAGTTCAACCCAGATACCCAGGATGCTCTGGTTAAGAAGCAAGCAAACCCTCAGCTTCCTCTGGTGAGGCCAGGACTTCTGGGGAGCAATGTAACATCTAAAAACCTTAATTGCTTTCTTTAAGTGCCTGTTTGCTGAGCCCAGGAGAGCTACACTCAAATTCAAGCTTTTAAACACCTGAAAGCCTATCTAGTCCATGGCATTCAAACTGCTACCTGTGACAGCAATCAAATCCCACCCAGGATTGTTTAGAACACTGCCATTAAGCAAGCAGTTACATGAGCATCAGAAAGAAGCCCACCCTGCCCCCCAAGATGCTTCCCTTGACTGAGTTGTCAAGTCATCTTCCTTAGGATAAAGGGGGTTTTGTTGCTTTAAGAACAAGGTCTTTTTCTCCTAAGCAAGAACATCGTTTCTATCAGTGTCAGGGAGCCATAAGACAAACTGCACTTTGTTTCACTACATAATCTGCAGTCTTTAAGAGTTTCCTTCAGGCCTTTCACATTAATATTCCAATTTTAACCAGCAATTGAGTTTTGTATTTTTTTAAGGATGTACAGACAAATTCTGAAATTAGCATCTCCATAGAACAATCTGTATTCCCCATGTACTGGAAAAATAAGATCATCTTCATCCCTACTGCCCTCCTAGATGACAGAGAAGGCAAGGACTCTTACCATCAGCTAGAAGTAACCAAGCCCAGTGATTACAGAAAGTAAGGATGGAAATTGCAAATACCAAAATGCACCTTTAGAAAGCTGTTACCCTAACATTCATGCAGTATAACTACTCCACTTGAAGAGCAAAATCTGAACTCACTAGTTCCGGTTCACTAGGCTCACAGGCTAATGATGTACTGAACTTAATGATAATGACCGCAACTCAGACTCAGCTGACTGAGGATTACTCAGTAACAGAACATTTATCCTATGGCTGTTATCCCCAACTAAGTGACAACTAGAGGGTCAGTCAGATTTAAAGCATATTTGGACTTGATTAATCTGTGATGGTGTCAAGTTTCTCAAACATTTTAGACGCCTCCCCTTTGCACAAATGTTAGTGTAGACACTGGTTAACAGTTTACCTGGATAGGTCTTCACAAAGTTCATCTTATTAAAGTCCTCTGAAATATGAAACTCCTAAAAGCAAAGTGGAATCATCAGAAAAGATACAGCAGTAACATAAGTCATATTGATACCTAAAAAAGAGCAGTAACCTCACAAGCCAAAATTTGCATAGCAGCAATATACCTCAATAAAAAACTAGCAGTTTCTCAAGCTGGTGCCCAGCACACTGACACATCAACTGTAAATTAAGGTTATCATCAAACTACATTTTCAACAGGGAGCATCCCTTCAGAACTGAGTTTGCTGAAGGGAGATTATAAGATGACATAAGATCTCACTTATCCCCAGCAGGAACAAACAAAACTGTATTGTGTAATATTTAGGATTCAAGTATCTGATACTTCATAATGGACAGATTTAAGTGGGAGTATTCTCTATTTGATCCATTAGGCTTACTGAAATTTTAAAAGTCTCAGCTTAAAATTCCAAGTAGTTATCACTAGAATCACTATTCTGTGGAGTTCTGTGTAGGCTATTCACAGTGGTTACCAGTAGAATCACTATTTATGACACTTACACAGTACTCTGGCTCCTTATAGGACAGTTATTATTTTGACCTTATTTTCATAAAGAAAGGAAACCATTAGAGCATCTGAGAGTCACAAGATTCCCCTCCTTTGCTAAGAAAAGGGAAAGAATACCGACCCACTTTCTGTTCTGTTGTATGTATCCGCTTTCCAGGAGAGGGAGAACAATTACAGCAAGAGTATAAAAAGACAGAGGGAAGACTTCCCAGAAAAGAAACCAACCCTGCCTTTTGTAATTTTAGAATCAGTGTTGAAATTTCTACATCATAAGAAGATCTGCAGCAAGAAAATCCAGAGACAAGTGCATGGCAATATGCAGGCAGATCCATATTTCTGGCCAGACGCAAGCTAGCTGCAGTTCACAACCCATCAGTGTGCCGCCACGGTACTCTGCCCAGCTTAATGTACTTCTCAAAATAATTCCTTGATGACGTATAACAGTTTGGGTCTACCGCTACACCAATGGTTCAAAGACTTTTTGAGGCTAGCTGGCTCACATCTAGCCAGAAGAACCCTTGTTTATTTGCAGTCCTCCCATGTAAACCTCAGGTGAACTGCTAAGAAGTTTGGTCATTTAGTAGTAGCTCCATTCCAAAAAGAAGGGAAAGAAAACAAATCATCAGCTGCCCCCGATACCTGGTACTCACAGACAATCTAAGCAATCCTAATCTGCATTCTGAAGAAAAGTCACAGCAACTTACCATGATAGCTCCATTATCCTGGCCTACAAATATTCGTCTGCTGTCATGATGATAAGCCATAGCTGAACATGGTGCTGTCAAAAAAAGCAAGCACGTTACAGTTATTGAAATAGAGGTATTAGGATAACATGACTTTTATTAAAACAAATTTTTTAACTCAGGACAAAAGCTGTTTAAGGTTAAGTAGCTTGATAGAAATTAGTCTTATAGATGACGTCCCTTGATGAGACAGTTAACTTCACATATGTGAAGCTGAGGAATGGTACACTACTGAGTAGCTCAGATATATCACCAGGAACCATATGCAAACATGACTTCCTGCCACAAGGTGCAACTCAGTAAGAGGAATTTTACACAGACTGAAAGTCTAGCTAGCAGCAACAGCATGTGCAGCCAGTTACACTTAAGAACTTGAGCTCTCTAAAATTATCTCAGAGCCCTGAGTTGTATACAAGAACAATATTCCAGTCTTTACATTTGAGGCCTGTAAAGTGCTAGACAGAAATACGCAATTGCATGTCAACTTTCATATGGAATCACGTCTCAACATCTGCAATTTTGAGATTCGTGTTTTTGAGATTACATACTATCTCTTTCAGTAGAAGACCCACTTCCCTTTTTGAAATTAACAGTTAAAATAGGTGTGAAAAGTAATCACAACAAAATTACAATAAAGTGTCCTAATAAAAACTTTGCAAAAAAATTTCACTGAAGAGTATCCTCATTAAATTTACAAATTACAAGGATGAGAAGGATACAGCACTCTAATACCTTCTTCTCCAAGACCCTCAGAAAATGTGGCCTTGAAGGTGCTTTTAGAAATTTAAAGCCAGACAGGACAGTCTGGAATATTACTGTTGTCATAATGCATAAGCAGAAGTCCATCCTTTGGAACTACCTACAGGCACACTTTATTTTGTGTAAACATTTTTAGACCACAATCTTAATAGTCTATTTAGAAAATTGATAAATGGAGCAACTGCTGTAATTCAGACCAACTATTAGGGAAAAAAAAAGATTACAGTTGGCATTTCTAATGTAGATCCTAGGCTACTCAGCCTGCAGCTGAAAGGACACAGAACATCAAGGAGTCCAATTCTTTTGTCTTCATTTAACATTTGTATACAAATTACTACAGAAATTGTAATTCTGAAGACTATCCTTTGTTTGTACGTGTGTGTTATTTTGTCATTGTATTCCCTGGTATGTGTCTAGGCAGCAACTCTACATTAAAGAAGTTACAGAAAAGCACCCAAGCTGAGTGATGTTTCAAAATCAAAAAAGCACACTGACACTCCAGATCTGCTCAGCACTGAAGCTGCTACTCAGTATTGCTTTCTTAAGAATCTAAATGCATTTAAAAAAAAAAAGAAAAAATATGTACACCTTGGAAAGCAGAGAATATTCTTGTTTCTGAACTTTCAGCTAATGGTTTGAAAAGTTCACTTATTTGGCAGACAAATTATTTGCCAGCATTTGAGACATCTCCAGTTGCAGCTCCACACAGTGATTTACCTGGTGAAGGATCTGGTTCTGACAGAATGCTGCCTTAGATCTCACCCACTAATGCAGCTAGTTTCAAATTAAAGTCTGAGCTAGAGTTGCTGAAAACTTCCCAAATTCAAGATTATCAAGTGAGTCCAGCACTTGGGGAAATGGGAAGGAGGTATTCCCACACACAGCACAGGTACAAAACCCAGGCTATGCTTGGCATCACTTACCATCTCCAGCATTGTACTTACATGACATGGTGTGATAGATACTGGGCCAATACTGTCCACTGTCTCTCTTCAGCCATACTCGTATTGTTCTGTGCCATGGGAAGAGCGGGGAGAAGACAGTTGTAAGTACGTCATCCCTTGCATCTGAACCAGTTCTTTACTTGTATCTCAGCTCCAATCCTCTTAGCTTTTGTGCTACTCAGCACAATACATTAGTTAGAGGAACAAGATAATAGAAATAATAGTACTCTAACATACCAAGTATAATAGCACTAAGAATAGCCACCCTTGGATTCTGAAGAGTTTTCTTCAAAACTATTTATACATTTAGTTTCAGTAAGTATGAAGCGGAAATACTATTTCAGGTCACCTCAGAAATTGCTACATATGGCATCCATTTAATTCCTTCCCCTTGGCTCCAGGTGATTTAAGTCAAATTCAAGTTGTAGGACCTTTCCAGCTTTGGCAGAGCAAACCACAGCTTGTTATATAGTAGATTAAGTGCTTGATATGTTTAAAAAAAAAAAAAAAGAATTGCAAATCATTCCATTATGGAAGTCTGAACTTTTGAATTTTTACAGCTTCTTTGTGCAACTCATCCTTTAGCAAGCCAGATACTGAAAATTAGTAACAGAAGCACCTCATCCTCCAGACCAGCACATTACTGACATCTCCATCCACAAATACTGATGTATGGATCCACAGAGTACATCATATCTAGTTCAGTATTGTTTCCTCTAAGCCATGCCTCTACTTCCTCACATACAAACGCAACAGACAAGCAACATCAGTACCACTGCTCCTCTGGCCTAAATATGAACAGGATTGGTTAGCCAGTCAAATAGGAATTGAAAGAAGTGGACAAGACAACTTGGACAGCATGCTAAGGCTCTTCATAAAATTGATTTTAGTTTGTAACTTTCCAGAATCAGGCCTTGGAAGGAAAGGAAAAACAGTCCTAAGAACATTTAGCATTATACTGCTCTCATGACTGTCAAACCCTTGGAGGAGGGATATAAGAGAATCAACAAGGAAGTGGAAAGTTACTGTCAATTAAAAACTTTCCTACAATAGGCACATTTGAAGGAAATCTACATCAAGAAGAGCACACATGTAGACAGTGCTAAGGTTATTTTAAGGCTACTTGAAATTTCCTCTCCAAACCATTGTTTGCCTTCTTGTAACTGTTTAAATCCAACTTCCTCATTCCTAAATGGAAACCTAAGTGATCTGTAAATATGTACACCTGGAAACACTGTCAAGAGACTTCGTTGAGATGAGTTATTCTATTTACTTTTAGCTTAAAAAAAAGGCCTGGTATTTAGAATTTTTTAGAAAAAAAATTATGGGATAGACTTGCTAAACATTGGGATTGCCAGTAAGAGTTTAACAAAAGTACACACTGCCTCAAAACAGTAATTTTCAGCTTTTGAATCAAGTCACTTTTCCACCAGTTCAGTGGTAAATGCACATTACTCCAGTTCACTACATATTTTGCATTAAGACTGTCTCTAAAAAGGTATCACTTCCTCTTCACAATAATCCACAATCTGCCTCATGATCAGAAAATTAACACTTCAGAAGAGCAGTCGCTATTTCTTAGTAACATAAGGAAAAAAACCCAATGCTTCCAGGTCATTCTCATGATGCAAATGCCAGTAGTAGCATGGGTTAGCACCTATGCATTTTAACAGCTTTTTAATCTGCTTTTTAAAGCAGTTCCATCATACTCAAACTGTTCTGAATATCTCAGATGGCAGCTTCCACCCTTACTAATTTAACTCTTTCATCTCTAGCTAAAATAATTATTTTTTATATAAAAGACTAGGAGATATCGTAGTGATTGAGATCATGCATTGCTTATTTTCCCAAAGCAGACTTTATTTCCTCCCAGTATTCTGGTTGTTTATACTAAACTAGGAATTAATATAAAGGAAGCAAGGATTTGCTTTTTCTAAGCAAATAACATCCTGGAAGTTTAATCTGTGCACTGATGATCAACTCATTGAAGTTGAGAGCCTAAGTAAATAGCTGTAAGAGTTAGCAAAATTAACTTCTGAAAGCTTCTTATTTTGGTTTAAGTAAGATTTAGACTTCACTAGCCTCATGCTTGCAAAGATCAGCTGTCAGACAGTTTTATGCAAAGCTCTGACTGAGCAAAATTTGAAGAGATTGTTTCACAGTAGTCAGCAAATAACTTGTGCCAAATTCCCACTTCTCCTTGATTCTCTCTCCTACAGACCTGTTGTTGTAGTGCATTTCCTTTGGTAGGGCAAATTAATTTGTGAAATACCAGTTCTACCTTAAAGGACTAGAGAAGTCCTCCAGCAATGCCACTTCCACAGTCTCCCACCATGAAACTGTTTTATTATGAGAAACACCGTATCAACCCTCGTGTCTTTTAGTGTTCTTCTCAAAACTTGGTCTTTAACGAAGAGGCCTGTGCTCAGTACCTGAGAAGAGCTGGCTACCACTCATGTTTTCTTTCAGCATTCCCTATTAAGGGCCTAGAAAGATACAGGTTTCTTTGACAGTAGTCTCAGTAAGAATGTAAAAATGTCGAAACTTATTAAGGAGCACCCAGAGATAGATACATGCTTTTTAAATTACAGTAGACTCAGATATCTGAAAGTGGCAGTAGGAAGTAAAACAAGATTTAAAAAGACCAGACCTCCAAACTTCCCTAACATTGAATATCGAACCAGAAGTTGCTTTCAGCTGGAAAGTATGCACATTTATAGAAGTGTAATTCAAAGGGGTTTTTTTTGTTTGTTTGGGGTTTTTTTTACCTAATACGTAAAAGCCATCTTTAAGCAATACTGAATATGGCCTTACCAATTTCTAAGGATTTTCATTGTCCTCGATTGTTGTTTCTTTTACACAGTGAGTACGCACCTGACAGTGCTACAGAAAAAAAGTGGGGTTTGAGGAGAGAAAATCCTTCAGCGTTCCAACAATATTTGTGCCCTGCCACATAAGATCCACACCTCGCACACACCCTCCCCCCCGCAAAAGCCAAATGTGTGTATGTCAGGGAGAAAGGAGTGATAAAAGATTAGCAGGCAAATCCAAACTTGTTACAATACAAGCACTGCTGCAAGAAGTACTGCGCAGCTACGCTTACGCTAGCCTTGGTCCGAGCGCTGCAGCTTCCTCACACCTTTAAACCACTAAAAAATTGCTTTCCTTTCTGAAATCAATCACTAACAATTGTTTTCCCAGCAAAAACAGAAGACTGCACTTTTCTGATAGTCAAAATAAACCAGAAGTATTTAGGCTGCTATTGATGGTGTTCCCAAAACAGCGTGAGGAACCTGGTTTAATCACAGTGCAAGGCAAGCTCAAGGGCACAGCTTGCAGTTGATGCTTTTTATCAAATTTCTGCTCGCTGAAACATTAGTTTTGACCAATATTTAAGTTCCATAACCAAACCCCTCCCTAATACCACGATTTAAGCAGCAGTTCCAGTGCAATAGCAGCTGCTGACCACCACAGAACACCAGCACTCAGATGTGCTAGTGACTCCAGAGATCCTGTTAGCCTGTGGTAAACGTAATACCACCATCTTGCATTTAGGCTCTCGTACTCTTGTATACTAGCTTACCAACCCTCAGCGTCCCCAGCTACAGCTGGGAAACACTCATCTTGCTGTAGTTATCTGTCTGCCGAGAACAAGGACAGTGAGGCTAAGTCCAGAGATTTGACTGTATCACAGATCTGCGCAGCCCGCGCTGGCCTATCTCAGCTCTGAGAAAACACGAGCCAGCCTCGAGCAGATGGGTCTAACTCACAGCTGGTACCCGAGCTGGCTGCCCAGGCTGAGGGACACTCTGCAACAATTCCAAACGTTGTCTGGGAGCTAGGGTCAGGCAAGACGCCCGTAGGGACACAGAGTTAAACACCCTTTCTAGGTAAGTTCTGAGAAAGCTTCACAGATGGCAAGTATCCTACCAAAACATTAGATAGGGAAAACTAACTATTTAACTCCTGCAGGTATTCTTGCTTCCTTTTTTGGCTTCAAAACTTTAAAAAAGAGAGCTAGATTTTTATCGGTACTCATAGAACTACTATGGCATCTTTCGTACCCTCAAAAAAAAAAAAAAAATCATTACTTTTCATTCTAGGAACTATCATTTAAAATAGAAAGAACTACAAATCCTCTAATAAGAGGATAATCTACACCATTCCTGGAGATTGTTTGTGCACCAATGTTTTCCTTACTCCCTAACTTCTAAACACATTCCTCTGACTGGTTATTATGAAATACTTGTCAGCCTTAGCTGTATTAAGACTTAATCAAAAATACTTTGGCCCTACTCTTTTGGTATACTGCTCAAAGAGGTTGTACACAGCAGCTCTTTTGCTTCTTTAATTCTGTACTTTGCTTGCTGCAAGCAGCATAATCAGTTACGCAGTATTAACACCTCACTCCATTTTTAGTGAATAAACAGGAGAGCAAAAAGTTTGGTAATACATTAAACTCTAGGTGACGGATACATGACTGAGTAGGCTGTGATCTAACGTAGGAGGTATCCCAGATTAGAGGTAATACAGTGCAACACTTTCTGAAAGTTTAAAGAGATCTAAGTAAACTCCTATAGTAAGGCAGGCTACACAAATTTAGTCTTGAGTTCAAAGCTTCTCTTAATAATTTACACATGCCAAAGGTGGGTAATGGCCTCAGCTCTCCTTGCACGGGTCTGTATCTGACATCAAACCTTGCCCAGATGAAGATGCAGCTGCATCCTTGGCTCTTACCGATGCAATTACTACCATGGTTCAACAAGGTGCAGTATGTACTACTGCTTCAAAAGGTCAAGATTTAAATCCTGCTGCTTTTACATAGGCATCGCTACAGTGAAGGAAGCTGTTTACCTCTTTACCGGGGGCAGGCAATAGCATTTTAAACTCTAAGAAGCCCTACTAAGTTGCAATCTGAAGAGGCAGATGCTGTTCTGTGGAATCACAAAACTCTGTTCCCTTTAACACTCACTTTTCAGTGCACACATTGCACTGCATGATGTCCTGCAGTCTAAGAGCATGAAAATGTTTAATATGTCAATATCTAATTGTACAGTTTGAGAAGCAC